AAAAAAAAAGGTTTGGTACCTCCTAGAGTGTTTCGCCTCAAAAGGTTCACAGCGCTAGCTTATGCGATACCTTTTAGGGTATTGAGCTGAAAAACGGCAGTTTCAGCTAAGTCAGTGTCATGTTGTTTAAGAATTAGCACTTCTTGGGGGTGAAAACAATTCCAAGCCACACCCACAAAACAGGATCTTGGTACCTCTAAAGGGGTTGTTTTCAAAATTTTCGACGAGCCTCTCCCTCCTCCCCCCGTCATTTTTATACGGAAGTCCCTCCTCCAGGATTAGAACCTCCGCTCTCTCCAGTAGCGTGCGATAAAACATGTTACATTCAATTTTTCACCGTCAGTTCAAGGATTAAAGAATATAACCATGTACCACTCTTTTGTGGATGGCTGAACAAATGTAGAAGAGGTCAATCTCTTTTTTTTAGAAATCTAAAGTTGACACATCCAGAAAATCTTAAATGCATGTTTAATATAACTCCTATTGATGAATTGTCAACGATTGTTTTTTTTCAAAGTTCAATCAAATGGTAAAGGAGAGCGAAAATTAATTATCATTTTCTAATTTCAGCGAACATCAATTCTTGCTTTAATTTCAATTTTATTTCAGGTTGGATGTGAAGAAGGCTCTCAAAAGTATTGATCTATTTCTTGTGTACTCGTAACAATGGTATTTTTGTTTGCTTAATCGATCGTCGCTAAAAGCTGTATTGTACTCTCAAATACGCTTAAATGAATATAAATTTCTCTGAACTGAGGGGCATTCGGAAAAGAAACTCCGACCAACGCAATCATTGTGAAGTAACTTTTATAATCACCGNAAGTAAAGAAAAAACTTTTATAATCACCGACAAATTCCAGTGAGTCAGTCAGTCAGTCGATATTAGCCTGTGAGCAGTTGATCACAACATAATATTCACATTGTATTATATTGACCGTGCGGTTTATATCACGACAGAGGCCCGTCGCAACATGTTATTTAGTTAACCAAACAAGCAAAAGCGAACAACATAGTTCCAAAAGCTGCAGATTAAAAGAAAACAAGCCAGTTAATGATTAAACCTTGGCGTCTATGTGTAAACTTTTCTTATAGTTCGCAACTAATTTCTCCACTGAAGTACTAGGTCAGAGAATTATAGTACGCGTTAACTTTGTAAGGAGTGATCTCAAGACACAAATTCTCCTTACTGGCCATAGTCTCCACTCATTTCATATACATTATTTGGGAAATTTGCATTTTAGCACTGATTATTTGGAATTCCTGAGGATAAATTAGATTTTGGTCTCTGTAACTGCAATACATTTGTGGGCAATTATTCCAGTTACATCCGTTGCATTACGTTGAGGAGGTTTAGGGGTAGGGGGTGGGGTTAACATGTTCTTCCTGTTCCTATCGAGTTTTAGTATAAATCTACTAGCGTTCTATCACGAATGACGTTCTCTGATTGGCTACGCTATAGCTACTGACTATCTATTCTTCTGTGATAGATAGTGAGTAGCGTAGCAGTATGCCCTTGTTAACAAAATGACGGCCGCTTCTTGGCATTTTCGAAGCGTCTGTGAAGACGATTTAAATAAAGTTTTGAACGACTAGTAGATTTGTACTAAAACAATGAGATTATTCGCTCTCGATTTCTATCGCGTGATAGTTGACTATCTCGAACTCATAATCTAATTGTTAAATAGAAACACAATTTTAAACCAATCATTGCGCGTATTATCTTTGGGCGATTTTCTTAACTGTTTATGTGTCTGTCTTCATCTAAACGTGTTATAATGGTCCGATCAGAAAGTTTTCAAGGAGTCAGTGTGAGTCATCAGGATTAAGATTCGTGTTGAACGATAACACGTTGTTTGCACGTGATGTGCTGACCATCAGTGAAGTTTCAGAGCTAGCACGACTTATTACAGATTCACTCAATGACTTAGAAAGAAAAGTACAACTGTAAGGGTCGACACTTACTAGGGGACCGGACAATGAAGCGGGACATGATCTCTTCAGCGTTGACATGTTGGAGCGACAGTGTCCTTGTGTGACACGCCCATTTTTTGCGAAAACTTTCTGTTGCAGTGGACAAACTTCTGTCCCCGAAACATTTTCAGCTGATTTGAATTCGTGCGTCATGAGGCAGGGGCAAAATGGCTTCGATTTTCACCTGGTCGCATCTTACGGAACTTAGCCTTACAAACTGTCCCCGCTACAATACACTTTTATGCCTCAAACCACCTTGTGCGCACCAGTTTGCTCTGAAACCGTGCGACCTCTGCGTACACACGAACGGGCTTGTCTCCGCTTCACATCCCCCCAAACATGTCCCCTATAGCTAGTGTGTCCCCAAACATCCCCCCTCCCCCCCAAATATGTCTCCGACCTTAACTTAGAAGGATCAACACAGTGAGATAGGAAAATTGCATGTACAATGGACATGGTGTAAACGGGACAATTATTTTCTTTAAAACCTTGCCATCCAGTGAAATAAAACTCGACTTTCGTGTTATTTAGCTTTCATTTATTTTAGCATGTTATTGACCTTTGTTATATGGCCAGCTCCGTGAGCGGGCAAGATGAATCAAATCCTGCACTTTGATTGGCTACCCGAGCGGGCAAGATGGAGCTATCTTGCCCGCTCGGGACTACCCGTCGTGTCCCGCAAGAAAAACTTCCCCGAATGTCATATAATAAATCCTTTATTGACCAAGGTTGTTTGGTCAAGATGGCTGGATGTAGGCCTCGTTCTTTTTTTTGCGTGTTTCCATAAACACGCAAAAAAAGAACTTGGCCAATTTCCAGCCATCTTGACCTCACACGAACCTGGTCTACGTTGTAATAATACACTTCATTCTTGTGCAGGAAGCTAGAGCAGACTTTGTCTGCTTCCAGCAGCGATTTTCTAAGAAATATCTTACTATCATTATATTATACACGGTCATATTTATTATGCGAAAGTTCTTCTTCATATATATCACTTCGCTGCGGGAACCTATACTAGAAGATATATATCCTAGTTATAACAGCTATCTTCAGGGTCTCCGATAGTTACATAGGCATATTTGTGAAGCGCCTGGTAATCTTTAGATATGAGCCCATCTGATTTAAGCTCTTTGTAACCACGATATTCTTCATTGTCTGAAGAGCTAATAGGTCCTTTTACTCCGCAATTGCAAGCTCCTACTCCATCACCAGGTCCTTTCTGCTTGTCGTCTGTCGACTCCTCTAAGATATGATAGAAAGGGTCTGTTTCCTCATGATGTGCAACGTGAGCTCCTCCTTCGTCTCGTCTGAACGAGCTGCTTTGGGAATCCGAAGGATTAGGTTCTTCAAGTACTTGATAACAAGGAGCAATTTCCTCGGCTTTTCCACAACGGCCTTCACTCGGCTCCTCACTTTGAAGACCTTCCTCTCTCATCTCGAGTACATGGTAATAGGGGACATTATCTTCGAGTGTGTTGGAGTCCTTCTCTTTTGACCCAGGGAAATCGATCTTGAGCAGATTATTACGAACCACGAGACTAGACTCCGCATAGTCGTATTCATCACTGGCTGGTTTCTCTGTTGGCCTCTCCACGGGACTGCACGGGTCTCGTCCCTCGGGTTGCGCATGGCGACTAGTACTGTTGATGGCAGGAATAGTTCCAGGTACGTTGTATCTCGCCATGTACACTCCTGCAAACAGGCGTTTAATGATATGCGGCCTCATCAATAATAATTTGTTAAGCTTTTCAGAAAATAGCCATGAAGGACGAAAATAGTTTTGAAACATGTAACATTTGCAGTGACAAACTTCAGCCTGATTGTTAGCATTATCTATTTATTTTCATGATGCTTTTCTTAATTTTTAATTATTACAACGATTTAATGGTAATAGTTATACTATTACCTTTTCAAACACCTACTCGTTCATTAATTGCGTCCCTCACGGCTCCTAAGCTAGAGGGCTACTAATCAATCGTTGCTAGATTGACCTCACATACGAAAGAGCCTTATTCTGAACTCCAGTCAAATCTCTCTTAAATAATTACTAACTATTCGGAAATTCCCATTAAAATAGAGCGATTTTCACTTTAGTGTCGAACGTTTTTTCTCCCATTTGATTTGGTTTTGAGTAACCACGCTGAGCGTTAGGCTTTAAAAAACTGACTCGCACCACTTTGTCATTCAATTAGAAGTGAAACCAAAACCAATCGTGAATTGTTCGCACACGTTTCCCCGTCCGCTACATGTATTTACTTCGAGTTTTACAGTTGGTTCACTGGATTTTCTGTGTCCTTTTTGATTCTAATAGAGATAATTTTGGTATTAGTTGTACTGAGCCAATAATTGTTCTAACACCATAGACGCCCTTTCCGTTCAGTCACATCGAAATAACCAATATATAGGAATATGGACTCCTGATACAGGTAAAAGCAGCGTCGTTAATACAGACCTCTTTCCATGGCACCACCTGGTGATGGAGACAGACTTTGATAAGATGTTTTCTCTTCAGCTACTGCATACTGGTTGACGTAATCGTCTGATTTTGTTGCTTTCAGCTCTAGGGATGTCGAAGACAAATGCCTACGGGAACAAAATGTAGATTAAAAGCTGGCGCTGACAAACACTCAACTCTCCTATAGTCCGGAACAAAAAAGTTTCACAAAGTTGCTTAAGGAATGGAAAATAGGAGCTTAATTATAACTTCATAGTACGAGACTTTAA